TGACGTCCCGGCCGGTGATGTCCCGGCTGGTGATGTCCCGGCCGGTGATGTCCCGGCTGGTGATGTCCTGGCTGGTGACGTCCCGGCTGGTGATGTCCCGGTTTTAGCAAAAGCCCAAAGGTCATACATTTGTGATTGATGCTGTATTTGTTATTTTTTTCAGTTTTCAAAAATTAGGCAGTAGGTCTTGATATGTTGTAGATTATTGTAGGTCACCTTAAACAGGCGAATTGTTAATGCACAATTAGGCTCATTTATGCAACATAAGGTACCTGTATAATTCAATTGAAACTAATTTTTACGGAGTCTTGCGTCATGGTAAGGTGTTGCAGCGTAGCTTCAGTGCAGGTTTATTGTCGTTCATAAATTGGGTCACAGTATACAGAGCCTATTTGCATCTTTTCTTTCGATCAACAAATCAAAAACACCTGTTATGATGACCGTTAAAACTAAAGTAAATCACATCTCTCTTGGATTCTTGTTTCATTCACCTGTGGAAATATTTTGTTATTTTTCTTTTAAGATGGTATCTATTGGATCTAAGGGTATGGACGTATAAAGCAGGAGGAGGCGAGGGGAAGATGAGTGGCCACTCGACACATAGATGTGCCTAACACATCACTGTCACACATCTGATGAGCAGATGTACGATCCTGACGATGGAGGAAGCGGGCATTCACGACTGATCAGTTAACTTGAAAGAGCAAAAAAAGTTAAGGGAGTTCTATTTTAGGGAAAAAATCTTTTTGGAATTTCCCCTTCATTGTCTCTCCTTCTTCATTCGTTCTCCAGTGTGTACCGCGGCTCCTTGTTTATCATATTTCTTTTTTCCATTGTAGTTTTCGCTGGCATAGTCTCTGTGGTGATGTGTCATTTGCGCAGTTTTTGGCTTGTATTAACCTTACGTTTTCTCGTTTTCTTTCTGTCTTTTGTGGTCTAGAAACCAACCTGGGAATAGGCCGAAATGACCGGACACAGGACTCTGACTGTTTTGTTTTTATATTGATGTCTTCAGTAATTCCAACCCTCCTGGATCTACCAAGCGGATAAACTGAAAATAACCACTCAAAGTACGTCTATTTCCATTCAATTTTGGCAGTTTTTCCCATGTGTTGACAAGTTTGTTTCCGCATTCTTGCAACTTGATTCTTGCTGAAGTACACACTTTCTCTTTCATGGATTCTGTTGCATGAAGTATTTATCTGCGATGTTTCTACAAAGGATGTTTTTCCAGTTTCCATAAAGTGGTGGAAGGTATGCACTGAAGGAGGTTTTGCAAATGAGCCAGTTTGGTATTCCAACAGCGCACGCCCAGCACGAGGTGATTTCAGACCAGCTACATGCGTGTGCAATAGTCTGTCCTATCAATGTAGCCCATTGATACCCATTATGTAAAGGATGATGACCGAGGTATGCGACATAGAGGGATCCCAATACGACGCTTTTAGCGTCGATCTGCGCACTTCCGCGTTTGAAAACGAGGCTGTATGTGTCAGCTTCAATTCTTAATACGATCAGACGATTGAAAGTAAGGAGTTAAGACACAAAATACATACAGGTATGTTAAATTCAGACTTTTCAGGCTGCAAACAATTGTTGAAGAGCCTTTCAGAATGACTCGTAGGGTGAAATCAAAGGAAAAAACAATGGCAATTTACCTCGAACTAACGTACCTGCGATGGCCGTGTATCTTGTGTAGTGGGCGTGGTTTAAACTGAAGTGGTATCACACCTACGAACTGGATACTGCATGTACTGTGTCGACTCCGCGGGCGAAGTTCAACAAAGAGAGCCTCGGTTTCGATGCGGATATGCGCAAACGGGGCTAATGTGAAATCCATCCATTCGTGGGTGAGATTGAAAGCCCGAGGGCCATTCTTACCCACGAGTGTCGCGTTACCGAGGGTATTATGTGACTTAACTTCCATCCGTGACGTCACCGTATTCTTTTGCCTCTCCATTTTTTTGTACGAATGAAGTGAAGTGAAGTTTGCAAGAAAATAAACCCGAAGGATGTGCCGTTACGTAACTTTTAAATGTAGGTAGCGCGATATATAAGCAATTAAGCTGGGTTCATTCTGTATCAAATGGCTTGGAGTAAAAGTGACAGTGATGGCGGTCTATTCCTAACACAGAATGTATTTCAGTCACATGACAGTGACGAGTATCACACTGATGATGCGGTAGCTGATGCACTAACCTTGCAAAATCCTACCACAGTAAAATTAGAAAACTCTAGCTACCAGCCGATATTATCTGATATATCCTTGCAGCTCTTTGCAGCGTCCTTAGCATTAGAGGGAAAAGTCATCCAAACGAACCGTTTTGAGACACCGAAAGGAGACGAAGAGATGGCACGAATGAGTACATGCGGGTAAGCATTCCCCCAGAAAAATAAAAAATATGAAGGTGTTTCTTTAACTTTGTTTTATGTGATCTGTTTCTTGTTTATTAAACTCCTGCACAAAAGAGGTTAAGAAAGCTTTGGAACAAAGTATTATAAGTGAGAAATAATCAAAGTGGACCATTTCTTCAATATCATATTTCCAACTGAATCTTAACCTTCAGCTTTTATAAGGGAAAACAGCTGAAACTTAAATCGCGGACAGATTTTAAAATTGTACCCCGCCAAAAATGGTTACAAACCCAACAGTTAAGAAAATGGCAACATATTCTTGTTTAGAATTGTAAAACGCATTTCGAAAACCTGCCAGGTTAACAATCTCGTCAAAATGTTGGGTTTTATGATGGGTAGATTGTGTATAGCTGATTGTTTTGGTGGCATTGTGCACAGTGCAGGGTCACTCGGTGTGCAAAATGCATGTTACTTTGAACTAACAGTATGCCATGTATTTTGACACTATATCGAGCGAAATTGGCTCTTTTCTAAGATTATTCGGTTTATGACCCTTTTTGGTTGGGTACAAAAAGCTTTCCAGACAACTTATTTTTCCTTTTGCCAGAATTAATTAATTTGTGTTTGCGTATAAATGTTTCTTCGGTAGGATTTCTAGTTTCACATTGATTTTGTCAAGCACCTTGAGAGTACAGAATTTGCGCAAAGGTCAAGATTGTGCCAAACATATCTAATATTTGGACCCAAAAGTTAGTTTTTATTTTTTTCAGACTTTCCAATAACGCTATGAAGAAGATTAAGTGGGCGTTAGGATTCTATCGTCAATGGCAAGGTCAGCGCATCCAGTGAGCCATCAATATTCGTCTTGAGGATATGACCAAAGATGAGCTTAAGTATTCGATCGCAAGATTTCTGTGCGAGATAAACAAACAAAACGGAGAGAAATTTCCAGGAGCAACACTTCACAAACTCATGATTTGTCTTCAGCTTTATTTTGACACCATGAATAAGGCCTACAAATTTCTGCAAGATCCTGACTTCTTACTGATCAAGAATACACTGGATGGACTTTATGAAGGATCGTGCCAAGGAGGGTATGGGGATTCAACGTAAGCAAGCTGAGGTTATAACCTTGGAGGAGGAGGAACTAATGTAGTCCGCTGGCGTTCTAGGAAGCGATAACCTGACCAGGTTTTTGAACGCACTGATTTATCTCATTGGATTAAACCTTTGTACTACCTGGGGGTCAAGAACACAGGAATCTACGACACCACAATTCGCAGCTTTCTGTTCAGACGGGGACGGTGGGGAGTTTCTTCGATACGTTGAAGATGTATCCAAGACAAACCAAGGAGGGCTAAAACGCCGCCAAATTAAGTCCACAGTTTTTGAGGCTCATGAAAACAAAGCCAATCCGTCCCGCTGCATTGTGAGACTGTATGAAAAGTATCTTCAGCACTGTCCAGCTGACCGAGTAACAGACGCCTTTTACCGTAGACCTCTGGCTAATCCTAAAGGCGATGTGCGGTCCACTGCACAGCAATTGGGCCGTCATAAACTTTCCTCTGTCGTGTCAGATTTTTGCAAAAGTGCAGGTATTCTGGGACATCGCACAACTCACTCCCTCCGTGCAAGTGCAGCAACTCGGATGTACGAGGAGGTAGATGAGCAACTTATCTGCATAGAGACCAGACACAGGTCCAACGCAGTGAGATGATACAAACGCATCAGTGACGCACTCAAACGCAGGGTCAACTGTGTGGTTCAGGGTATTCCAACAGAAGAGAATACAGGCAAGAAAAGGCCTCCTCGACTGGGACTGCTGCAGTGCATCATAATGAGCGCGAAAGAAATATTGCACTGACCCTGAATTTAAACAATTAACATCTGCTATTTACATCATGTATTTTTGTACAAAATGCGTAAACTGCATGTATTGATAAACCGTACACCATAAAATTAATGAGTTTAAGAAAAATAGGATTTTACTAAATCTGTCTCGCATAATCCAAATTACTGTTTACAAATCAGCCGGAGCTTTGAAACATAAAAACATGAGACTTGTGAAGCTTGTTTATAGTTTGGTAAAGTGCACATTGGAACAAATGGTACGTTTACATCTTTAATAAATTCTATCATTATTGGTACAAAAATTAAGTTTGTAATGTTTTAAGAATGATTTCCATTGAACATTCCTCCAAAAATAAGTAACCAAAAACTTCATTATTTTGTAGGAATAAAGTGGTGGAGACGTTGCCCTTCCAAAGAATGGAGAGATGATGTCTCCATCGCTCCATTCGTACAAAATAATGCAGCGGCAAAACAATACGGTGACGTCACGGGATGGAGGTTAAATAATGGAGATCAATGGTGCAACCATACACAGACACACGTGCGCACGCGCTTTGTTCCCGAAAGACCTTGATATTTTGAAGTAGAGCCTGAAAGTTGACCTTGATGGCGCGCTTCAGGGATCCTTGGATAGAAAAAAAAGGTAAATGTTTAGAACTCGTAAAATTCTGTCTTTAAATTCCTTCTTAAAATCTCAACTTTCAAAAGGCCTTTTGTAAAATGTTTGCTAGCATATGAATTTATAGAAACTGAAAAAAATACCTGTCCTAAAAGACAAATACAGTGCCAAAGATTGACCTATCACTTCCGAAAATAATGCACGAAGAACAATCCAATGCTGTGGTCTCGAACGCAGGTGAACAGTTATGGAATTATACTTTATGGTAGTCTTTTAGTAATAGCCAAAATAAAAACGGACCAAATATGTTAACGAATTTGTAATTAATAACAAAAGATTCTAAGGTCTAATCTAACCATGGAAGAAACTTTGCTGACAAGAACTGTGTCAGGTGAACTCCACTGAATCTAGAACCCATCCACTGCAGGTAGATAAATCTGGCCGACGTTGTATACAGTCTAATTTTGACGTAAGCTAACAACTTCAAAGTCAGGCAGTAAAAAAAAAACGTTTAAACCCTGAGACGGAGCCCAAGTCAGAAATTGGAAAACGTCCCATGGAATGATATTCCCGGAAGTGAAAGGTCGTTAATGAAATTCGTTTTTTACCCATCTCCATGAGACTTTTCAAAAATTACTTGAGGACAAAGGAGACATTCCCATGTAAGTGTTTCTTGGGGTGGTTTCATTTAGAAATATTACCGTGTCCTCTTTTCTTCCTCTATCTAACATATTTTCTCGAAGAAAGAAAACAATCGAAGACATCATGTACTGGTCTACACTTTTCCGTCTTTGTTTCGTGAAAGGAAGGCTCCGCGCTAATTTGTTTGTCTCCAACAGCTATGCCTAAGACAGCACAGACTTCATTCCTGATATCAACGAGCATACTCTCATTGTAAAAACGATCAGACTAAGGATGGATTTTATGAATTTGTAATGTTATTCTACGTTTTGTGTCAAAGAGCCCCTTGAAGGTTATGATATATTTCAACTGACCGCTGTTATATTAAGTCTATTAAGATGCAGTAAAAGTATCTGCCATAGATGGGAACAGTGAAATTCAGATGAAACAGAAGCCTGCATAGTAATTACTAATTAAAATCCAAGGATTTATATGAATGTTGCATTTTGACTTGGGCAAAAATCCTCAGAAGTTAATTCATCCCGGCTAACAACTGCTTCCATTTAATACTAACACGAACACTGACTGCCATGCTCACTATTCAACCATCCACCAGGGACACAGTACTAAAGCAGCCCAAGGCAAATGTAACGTTCATACTTAGAAATTCTTTAGTAAATGTGTAAAAGCAGTAGGTGCAAAACTACATCCTCTGAGTTTTAATGTTCCTGGCGCCTCAATGTAATGTTTAACACCGAAACTACACTGCAGTTTGAAGTATCTTGTAAGCTTGGAAATTGAATTCTTTATGGTTGTGTGAGATATGTCACATAATGGGAAAAAGCACGGACGACTTCGTCTGGATGTCGTCGGAAATGGCATTCCATAAACGGGGACTGAAAAAGCGAAGGGTGTTCACTGAGTAGACGGCGCGAGTGAAGGGAATAAACATAATTGCTATGGGATCTAGTGGAGTAACCATGGATTTCATTGACCGAAGTGAAGTACGAAGAAAACGTACTAGGAAGAAGATTTATTGATGTATATGAACATGAAGATATCAGTGTGTAAGTTGTGATGTCGGTAACAGTGAGGGTGCTTAAACGTGCAAAAGGGGTGAAGTGTGGGCCCCGATAGTGAGACCAGGTGTGGGTACCAATCGCCCTTTTTTTGAGTGATAAGCGAAGCGTTCAAATTTGTTATTCGTTGTGCGTGCCCAAACGATGTTGTCATAACTTACATACGGAAGAATAGAGAAATGTACTATAACACCAAAGAGGTACTCGGAATAAAGACACGTTATTTGGATAGGACACCGGTGTTAAGAGAGACAGTTTTGTTTATGGAAGATATATGTTCCGTCCAAGACAGGTTTTGATCGATGATTACACCTGTGGCAGGACAACTGACACCTTTTGTGGCGGACCAGCAGACTGGCCTGATCGGTGATAGAATTGACCTGGCCCAATCCCACAAATATATTTATTTAGGTCATAACCTTACGAAAGAATGAGCGGCTATCCAAACGCAAGGGGGGATGTCGAACGGTGGACTATGCCTTTGGGGCTGTTCGTTTGGTGGACGGTTACCACCGCTCTGTGATTCAGTAATTGATTCCAAAGTCAACAAAGGTTATGTGACTGGACGTGGATTTCTAGGCCGTCCCTGGTGGTGGTAGGTCCATCCTCAAGAATTGGATGATGAGGCACCAAGAATGTTCCCAAAGAGATGAGTTGAACACCCAATATTCTATAAAGTATTTATTCTAAATGACTTATCAGTCTCATTTCAGCACCTGAGTTTGCATCTCAAAATAAATCCTCGGTGTGGTAGCTCAGACAGTGATGAGTTCCACGAGGTCTGCTAGCGACGGCCCGAGCATGTAGGCAATTAAGCCCCCAACGTCTCGAGCTGGGCGTTGCACACTGGCAGTTCGCAGTGGCGATAAAAGACCGCACTCTGGAAAGTTCGAGAACACCCAACGCCCACATCCACAAAGCTGTGACTAAATGTATTGCGCTCCGCCATTCCTAAAAACGCTCAGCGTAAATACCCTCAACTACTGCATACATAGGAATCAGCACTGATTATCAACAAAAAAATGTTTACAAATTAGTAACTTACAATCGAGGATTAATAGAGAAGTATCGCCCAATTAAAGTAATAAAATGTGGAGTCCTAGAGACTATTTGTTGCAGTGGATGTCGAGGCTCTGTCCGCACAAGGCACAATGTGGCCTGCGGGCTGCACAATTAAGAAGGCGATTATAATCGTCTTCGCCAGACTCTAGTGGAAACCTGCACCCAGTAAACCTCAACGAGGAAAGCAAGCTCCCAGACCAGGACTGCAACCAACCGTCGCTATGCCAACAAGGTGGAACAACGGCACGCAGTCCTTCTAGTCTAAGCTTCGCTGATTCCTCAATTAACTGGTTCACACGGGTTCCCTAACCCTGTAATCTACCACTTCTTAAATAAACAAGACTGTCTAACTATCCCCCAATCATTGAAGAGACCTGATATACTCGGCAGCTCCCGCAACTGAGAACAGGCACCACACTGTGCGCGGGAAAATGCGCTTGACACGTGAGGGCGCACTTGCATCCATCACAATAAAAACACCAAGACATCAATATATCAAAACATCAGGACATCAAGACACCAGGACGTCAAGACACCAAGACATCAATATGTCAAGACATCATGACATCAAGACATTATGAAATCAAGACAATCAGTACATCATGACATCAAGACACCACACCACAAGGCTTAGAGTTTAGCAGTGTATATTTATCTTAAAACTTCTTTTTCACTATTTTGACTGCAGAAACTGGCTGTAGTCAACTGAGAGAGGGTAGGATTCTGAAAAGTACCATTCATAAGCTCATTTATTGTACAACGAATTTAACAAGTAAAATGTCTATAATCATAACAAGTGGCAGTACCCAAATGATCGATCCTTAGGCCTATGAAATAGTAAAAGATTGCTGTGGTATAGGAACAGTATTGTAGGGGCTGTAAACCGTGGCTTTACATGATTAAATGGGCCTGCATGGTAAAACAGTCAATAGGGCTTGACATTTATTTCCCTGTTACTGGATACGAATACATAAATGCCTCTGTATTAAAAAAATCGTGACCAAAATGTCGCAGCCAGAGTCTGTAGTGTTGTCAGAACAAGTCACGTATTGGTATATTCGGGAAGGTGCACAAGTCGATCTTTCGCATGCTCGCATGCCTGGTCGCTTTTGCTTGTTTTAGACAAACTTCGTTTTGATTTTCCGGGTTCGGCGCGAATCTAGAACACCTGTCTGAAACAGATGTTAGGTTTAAAAGGACTAAACCAGGTTTTTCAGCATGAATAGAAGTAGGATATGATGGCAGGTTTTTGCATTTGGACAAAAAATTTTTTAACACTTTAATTAGCTCCAGTGGCCTATACAGAAGAGGCCACTCCCTCTACGCAGGGTTTTAAGGTAAATCAACAGTAAAAACAATGCCAACTTGTGTGAATTGTTGTAGTCAAGCGGTCACAGCGTAATGGTTTGTGATGCAGGGGGAATGGGCTCGAATCCTGGGTCGAAATTGTGGACAGGGAGGTTGTTTTTTAATTAAAATACAAAGGTTTGAAAAAATATATCTCGTAGAAACAAGTTCGTAAAAAAATTATAAAAATATACTTGATGGCACACTGGGGTTTTACACTTTCGAATAGTACACGGGAAACATTTTTAAAATGCATTTTTAGATTGCAAAAAAAATGACAGAAATGCTTGCCCAATAATGAGAATGGATTACCAATCCGAAACGCCTTGAAACAGCGCATACGAAATTGAATGCTTTTCGGTTACATTGCGTGGGTGATAATTTAGTTGAATCGAATGGCACAACAGGACTTTTGCTTGGCTTAAAACGAAATCAACTGACCGTTTTACGCTTCATTCAAATAGAATGGAGAAGAGAGGGCGGTGTTGACCAGTTGCCATCTTTACCATGGCTCTCTGAGTTTTGCTTCATCGCTTCAGGTTTTAGCCATTTTGTGTTATATTTTCTACCAGTTGATGTTTAATCTTGATGTTATTCTATTGTGTGTTTTGTGCCAATTCTTGGGAGCTGCTATTCAGCCCAACAATCATGACGGTGGTGAAGCTGTGTCCTTCATCCTTCGAAGTTTACCCCAACCAAATGGGCGAAACACAGCCAGATCTGCTTGTTAATTAATTAATCCCTGGATATGACCCACCTCTGGATATAACTGTATGCATGGATATCTCCATAAACCCTGGTCCAGAATGCAGCTTGATCTCTCAAGAAGAAAAAAGGGGAGTCGAAGGATCCACAAACAGGTGTACCCATAAAGTATTTACGAAATCACCTTCTCAGGATCCGCAGAGCTTTTCGGGGCTTGATTTCTCACGGGATACGTAAATAACATTCTTAAATTAGGGGGAAGAGGACTGGCCGTTGCAACATCTGAAATTCATTGAATTCCAGGATGAGTTTGTACAACAAAGGTCCTCTTGTGCAATCTTCGTTACGTTGACTGACCAGTCCTGATTGATACACAGAAACTCAATTTGCAGCCATCTTTGCAGTCTGGTGCGGTGCCTCCCTGTAATTAACGAGCAACCCGTGCCTCCCCCCCATGTGGCCACAAATCAGCCTGACTCTGGAGTCAATGTGGATGATGAAACCAATTGGTTTGAAATCATCTCCAAATCGAAGAGCCCGAGGATTGCACATCTGAATATCCTCTCTCTTCTAGATGCAGGGAAGTGCAAAATTGAAATGCTGAGATTGGCATTGGCTATCAGTAAACCATGGCATATCCATTAACCATAATATTATGTTTAAATGAAACAAGACTCTAGAATAAAATTGGGTCAGATGAAATTACCGTCGAAGGTTACTCAGTGTATAGACATGACAGAAATCGTAAAGTGGGTGTGCAATATATGTGTCTAAACCTCTGCAGAGTACCCATAAGCGGGATATGAGAGTTGTGAAGTTGAAAGTTTATGGATTGAAGCTACACTGCAAAGTACAAAATCAGTTGTTATTGGATCTATTTATAGACCACCTTCATCTAAGACCTGTTTTTATGGATACTTTAGAAAGCCACCTAGCTTATGTTGTGAATCAGGCAGGTATAGGGACATGATTCTCACAGGTGATTTCAATTTAAATCTATTTAAGTCTGCTAAAATCATTAATCAATTATGTTAGTGATTTCAGCAGCACAACATCATAGATACATGTACACTCACAAGAATCACAGGGAAAGGTTGCTCGTGTCTATGGAGAAAACATGTGTTTTCTTCGACCTCATCATGCAATTTACCGAGGAGCAGAGCTGGGGCATTGGAAAGAGCAACTAACCAACTTGCCGAAACTTTTCAGCGCTCTACAGCAAAACAAGTCAGCAGATGAATGACACTGGAAGATTTAACTGAAGACGAAGCCAAGCAAATCTTAGAGGTATTACAGAAGGAGGACGGTGGTGAAGATAGAAGACTGCAGACACAGGTAGGCCTACACATATACCTGGTTTATATACAAAGAGTGGACATTCCTTTGTTCTCTGGTGGTTAAGGAAACTTGAGGAAAATTCTCCTTTTTCTCCTACTAGGATAACTCCTTCGAGCTTTTGATGATGATTTCCTGGACTGTTCCTCTTCATTTTACCACGATAACCTTGACCCCAAAATGCCTCTGAAACGTTTTTCAGATAGGAGAAAAACATTGTGTGGACATGTGCAAGTCCATACTTTGCCGTCATACCCTACATTATGTGGACTTCTTTTGTGCAGAGGTCCACACTATGTATGCCACGCCTGCACACGCCATTCTCCACTCTTACCAATTATTAAATGGAATGCAAAAGTGGAATTAATTCAAAACCGTTATTGAAGTGCAAGACAAAAAAGGAAATCAGCCAAGACTAATTTATTTTACTGCAAGACACGAACAAAATTATGCAAGACTAAATTTTCTCATGCAACACAAACCAAACATTTTCATGCAGGATTAAATTGTTTTATGCAAGACTAAAACCTTTCGAAAAAACGAAACAAATTTCTCATGAGACTTTAATGCAAGATTATTTTTTCATTTGAGATCTACATTTTTTAACTAGAGTGAATTTTTATGCAAGATCAAAATATTCGGTCAAGAAAAAAATTCAACCAAGATTAAATTTTTCATGCACGATCTAAATTTTCATGCAAGACCAAAATTTTCCCTCAAGACCGACATTTTCCCGCAATGACCAAAATTGTCGTGC